TGAATACTAAAAATGGAGTCCGGGTGATGTGAATGAATCCTCTCGGCGCTCACCCCGCTCACCTTTCCTCCCACACAGCTGCTGCTTTAAAATTCACTCACACGGGGTGAAGGCTGACCTCCGAGAGCGATGGAACAGCCCGAGCAGGGTTCTGTGGTGCGAGCAGGTTTTGGTTGTAGATCCTGTGTGCCTCAGAGTTGGCAGAGAACACTTGTTCCTATGTTTAGAGCTTCCTCTTCCTCCTCTTCCTCCTCCTCCTCCTCCACTCTCGGAGCTGCTGCAGCCCAACAAATGCTCTCCACCGCTTCATCGGCCAACCACACAACTGGAACCAGACCAGTTTTTAAAATGACTTTCATGCCATGGAAAAATTGAGACCAGTCATAAAATAAGAACTTTGATTATCACTGTTGCTTTTTTTTACCCTAAACAATCTAAAAATGTTATACGTACAACCAAAACAAGATTTTGTATTTCTATAAGTGGAGTAAAACTATGGAATAATTTATGTGTGGACATAAAAAATAGTAATAGAATTGATGAGTTTAAACATAAATATAAAGGTATGTGTCAATCAAGATATATGCAAGAACAGGCTTAAGGATTAATTAGATGGAACATTGTGGGTGTGGTGTATGAATGTTAACACTTTGTAATAATTCTTTAGTATATTACTTGTGTGGTGTAGAAGAGAATTATTTAAGAATGTAATTATGTACGAATGTTAACACTCTGTAATAATTCTTTAGTATAATACTTGTGTGTGTAGAAGTGAATCATTTACTGCTTGCAAACCAATGATGGTAAGATGATGTCATGGGGTAGGACTGGATAAGTCTGACTTCTTCCTACTCCATTCAAGCATGTACTAGGTATAAGCAAATTGATATCGGATTAGCATTTGTTGGATATGTGTAAAATTATGTGTGTTGATATATCAACTGTCTTTACATGTTTGAAAGAATAAATCAAATCAAATCAATCAAATCAAAGTGAAAAAAATCATTAGTAGATTCACTGGTGCTGAAATTCACTGACATCATATGGAAATCTAAAACTGTCTGAACGCACAGTAAGACATACTCACAAAAAGCCAGCAGTAATATCCTTTTGTCCACTAGTGCATTTTGTAACATCTCAGAATAATCCACCAAACTAACACCCAGACTTGTTGGACAGTTCACTGAGCGCACATGAAATAATCATCTAGTTCACAATAAAGCTGCGTCCAACGCCCTGCTCCATCTTATATCATGAGCTCTACAGTCCTCGGTACAAGTGGTTCTGTCCGGATTTGTGACAGCAGCTAAAGAGGAAAGTGCTGGTGCCGTCTCACCGGGGACCTCCTGAAGACTCTGTGACCAAGCTTTACACCGGCTGCTGCTGGTGGACCAACAAGTCAGTGATCAAATCCACTGAGGGTTCGTTGGTTAGAGACGTTCAAAATGAAGAAGAAGACTAAATTCCTCCAAGGTTTCAAAATGAAGTAACAACCACTAAGTTCTATTGAAAGCCTTTTTCTGCCATTCAGTACTTTATACCTGTTTTAATATAGATGAATATCAATCGGCAGGTGTGAACGCCGCTCTGCTCTGGAGTCGCTGAACCACCAGTGTGTGAGAAACTGACAAAATGTGAGGAACTAGAGTTGTTTTCTGCTTTTAAAATCTGCAGACACTCCCATGATGCCTTGTGTAGGTAGGGATGAGCACCAGCTAGCCAAGCTATTGATGCACTTCACATATCAAATGGTCTTAATCTAGTCAAGTGCTTTTCTGTGCACCGCAGCACACTCACAACGGTGACAGGAGCACTTGGGGACCAGAGAAGCCAGGAATCAAACCACCAACCGTCCAGTTAGGAGACCTGCTCTACATTCTGAGCCACAGTTGCCCCAGTTGGCCGATGAAGACCATGAAGCTGGTTTTGTCAGACGACAGTTGAAGTGAAATTCTATGCTGAATATTAAGAGTCAGACTAAAAACATCCCTCATTATCAGAAGTGGCTGAAAAATGGATTCACATAAGAATCACAATTCAAACCTTCTACGATTCGGAATCGATTCCCAAATGACAAAAATTAATTTTTGTATTAAAGTTGATGGAACAAAAAGGCAGAATTCGACGGCCAGGTCACATGAGCACATACCAGAGATGTCTGGCAACGTCAGTCCATGAGCAGGAAAGGAAGCTGCGTGTTAGGATGATGAGCGTGTGGAGGACGGTGTGAATACGGTCACGGCAGACGGACGTCAGGGCAGCATTGTTAGCCACACACGCTGCGGCACTTCAGCGAGCGCTGCTGGGCCACAGACAGGACCTGGTTCTGGGTACTGCCGCTCTCTCTGGTGGTAACTTACATAAATAACTCAGGGGGATTGTTGGGTCTTTCCTCTATAATGATACTAACAGTTTCACTTGCAGCTCAGTGGCCGCAGACAGGAAGCAGCAGCGTGAACACCGTGCACTGGAGTAAGAGCCAGAATACGGTGGCCATCCTTCTTTTTATTGAACTGAATCATTTGAATCAACACCCGATTCTGAATCAAATCGTCAGTTTTGCTGGAGATCCGCACCAATATTCGATAAGCCGCAGCACAGCTGCTGGCTGTCCTCTGGGTTCGACCCCAGCAGCGGGGGGGCAGCTCTCTGCAGCTCAGGCTCAGTTGGGTCTTAAATCCTCCAGAGAGGACGGAGTCTTCCACCGAGTGCAGAGCTCTGAAGGAGACAGACGACAGACAGTTTGTGCTGCTAAGTGGGACATCTTTCTGACAACAGCAGGTGGGCTGAGTGTCTCTGCAGCTCTCGGCGAGATGAATCGAGGCTGTCCGACAGCAGCGACGCAGGGCTGAGAACACGTCTGCATGTCCTGCTAGAACGCTGCTCACATGGCTGTAATCCTGGGCCAGGGTCCTGTCTCAACATCGCTCGGCTGTTTATCTGCCCTGTCTGTGGATAAAAGCTCTGGAAATGAACAGACTGTGTTTGCTGTCTTATGAAATCCAACAGCGTTCAGCTTATTTTCAGCTCCAGATAACAATAATAACAACAGCGCCGCAGGCAGCGAGTGCACATATGGAGAAGTGACGAGGACGGGGCTCGGTCGCACAAGAAAATATGCAAAAGGAAGGAAATATTTATCAGATACCACCAGCGCTTATGGTTATTATTGTCCTGGAGTCACCGCCTGTGTGTCTGTACATAAGCAAACATGCATGACACTGAATCCTGAATCAGCTGATACAGAGCGCAGGTCACACCGGCCTCCCGCTGCCCCGGATCTTCCACAGATCTGCAGCTGCATCACTGTGTGTGCAACTCACCGGGGGAAAAATGACAAGATTATTCAAAAAAACTGTATTGGATGTGGATCAGTCCAAATAGCCAGAACCTGGTCCAAGTTGGGGTCTCTGCTGATCCATGTGGCTGGACTCTGCCCCCCGACTTATTCTACAATGAGCAGATTCTGGGTGTCACTAACTTCCAGCAGCAGGATGCCATGTTGTTATGAAACTTATCCTCAGGTCTCATCACAGTGAGGTTTCCCAGCTAAACAAAGCTTAACTAACAGTTAAGTGTAAGGTAAGACACTTCCTCTGCTAACAGAAGCAACAGGACGAACAATTCATCTCCAATTAAACACAAATTAAGAGTTTTAATAACACATCAAGATGATGCTCCAGCATCAAAACCGCTCAGCTCCAAGTCACCACCTCAGGCCTCAACGCTCAGATCTGATCTGTGTGCGTCGCTGCTTCCCGTCCGTGTGTGTCAGTGCCGTGTACCCAGCTCCGGTGTGAACACCACTGCACCATGTGCACAGATGTAACTGAAATGTGAGCCATGCTTATTGTTACCGGTCTGTGAGGGGCCGACGTCGAATGATGACGACAGGCCGTATGTTCCTCCAGGCAACAGGACGAACAATTCATCTCCAATTAAACACAAATTAAGAGTTTTAATAACACATCAAGATGATGCTCCAGCATCAAAACCGCTCAGCTCCAAATCACCACCTCAGGCCTCAACGCTCAGATCTGATCTGTGTGCGTCGCTGCTTCCCGTCCGTGTGTGTCAGTGCCGTGTACCCAGCTCCGGTGTGAACACCACTGCACCATGTGCACAGATGTAACTGAAATGTGAGCCATGCTTATTGTTACCGGTCTGTGAGGGGCCGACGTCGAATGATGACGACAGGCCGTATGTTCCTCCAGGAGACCACATGGATTCTGATCTGACTGATCTGACTGATCTGACTGATCTGACTGTTCTGACGATGCTCGCACAGTCAGAGGTCAGAGAGGAATCGGGTCTAGGAGCACATACACAGGTGGACCAGATCTGGTCTGAGGACATTTGGTCTGTTCACACTGCTGTGGACACACCAGGTCTGGGAAACCTCGGCCTGAGATCAGATGTGAGGCTCCAACAACAAACTTGCTGCTCATACTTTATTCCTCCTCCAGTGACATCAGCAAAACAAACACCCTGGCAGGCTAAAGAGCAGCTTCTGAATCCAGACTGGTTGGTCCTCGTTCCACCAACACAAACCTTGTGGTCCATAGCTGAGGTAAGACAGGCTTTACTCGCCTTTCATTTTACCACTACACCCCTGGCTACTGCACAACACACTTATATCTTCATCCATGTGACAATTAAAACCATGGTGCTAAAGAAGCAGGACAAACAGTGAAGACCCTGAAAGACACGATCCAACCTGAAGCCGAGCAGGAAACAAACAGGAGCTGTTCTCTCTGCAGAAGCAGGTACGGTAGGAGCCTCCGGTGATTTTAAAGATGAATAAGGCAATTTTCTCTCAACTCCATAAATAGAAACACTACAAAGCAGCCGAAGCCCCGAAAGCGTTTATAACATTCGTGCAGCTGTTTTCTTTCAGCAGAGGAAACAGCAGCTCTCGAACACTCATTTCTTTTTTCACCCAGAGAGCAGCCTCACAGACAGACACACTGCAGCACCACCACATCCACCCTCCGTCCTACCTTCTTCAGCTGTCCGCTGCGGGTTCCCACAAACACCACCGTGTGCTCCCCGTAGGTGTAGGCGGCCACGGCGCCCATGCCCTCGGTGCGGTCCTCGTACAGCGGGCTTCCCTCGATCACCCTCAGGCCTCCCAGAGGCTGGTTCAGCACCAGGCCGCAGAAATCATCTCCGATCTGCTTCGGCTGTGGAAAAGGGAGGAAGGAGACGTGAGGTTTTCTGTTCTCGCTACAGGTGGTTTGTGAAATGCATCGTGGGAGTTGCCCACATGCTTCTTGTAGCTTTGACATGTTTTTAATCAAGCATCTTTTCTCACAAAGCTCTTCATCTTCTGTACTAACACCCAACAGACAGTTGTCTCTTACAACACATCCACCAGCCTACACGCCGGCAGGACGAAACATGGAGCTGAGAGTTTTAACAGCATGAGGTGTTTTGGTGAGAAAACTGAGAAGCAGAAGTGCCGACCTGACACCTGAGGTATTTTTACCCTGCTCTGCGTCGAATGCTGGCTGCATCATGTGCCCGCTATGTCTGTGTGTGCGAGCACGTAGTGCTGCTCTGTTTGTGTAACTTAGAACAGTGTGTTTGACTGGTCGGGACCACGCCCACGTGGAACTTTGTGCTGATGCTGCTGTCAGAGCATTTTGGGGGAAGGCTCCCCGTGAATCTGTGCGGCGCTCGGGCGTAGAAGGAAGCAGGACAAACAGTAGGAAGAAGAGGAGAAGAACAGGAGGATCGACTGGGACAGTGGGAGGGTTTTACACAAAACGAAAGCACCCTGTAGGTGGAGAGCGGAAGTATTTATCGGTAGGTATCAGGTGAGCGTTAGGGGTGTGGTCCTGCTCCTGAACCTCATCAGGAGGTTCATCCTTATACCTGCACTGCCTTCACTTGAGCTCCATGCTTATAAAACTCTGTTGAACTGTTTGTTGTAATGACGTTTCCGACTGTATCCATGTTCTAAACAGAGATTCTGATAGAAACTGGGCTCTTGTATAAAAATGGAGCTGGTGTGTCCCCTGAAAACAGAAGAACCACGACACAGTCCAGCAGTGCGTCCGCCGCTGGTCCTGCTGCCTCTGCAGACAGGGCCAGGGGGCCCGGATGCTCCTGCCTTCACCTGTCTAATACACAGGTATTTGACATCTTTAGTTGAGTTCAGAGCTCATGAGCACAAGACCAGTTCACAGGAGAGGCTGGATTTAAAAGTTCCTCACACCAACTCCAAACTGGGACAGACTGGTTTCCAGTAGCACCTCTTGTTCCTCTGAGGACTTCAAAGCTTTACTAGCTTTTGCTGTGAGTTGTGTCCCTGATTGTTTTGACTCCACAACACATTTATTTCAGTGACATCTTTGGAGCGAGTCCTCAGTGTGATGCACCCCAGGCTTCATACTTCTGAAAGCTGCTGTGAACAGGGAGGAGCAGGGCTATTCAGGGTCCACACACACACTGAGGTTAGCTAACACCCTGTCATTAGCAGGTTAAGGCCCTGTTGCATCACAGCGACAGAACAGGGTGGAAACTCGCTGAATCTTTAGCCGACTTGCAGTAAGACGACTCCGATCAGCTCTGTAGTATCATTGACGGTCCAGGACGTCCTGACCAGAGTCTGATCTGATGCACGTTACTTAGACGTTGTGACATACAACACCTGTAGCTACACAGGACACTGTCTTTCCCACGAGTGATTCACTCAAACTGAAAGAGTCACAACAAAGTTTGCTGATCAATGAATCATTAACAAAAACACAGTTTGTGTAAAACCACCGACCTCATCTTCCAACGGTTTCCTCCTGATATTTGTGTTTCAGACATGGATGGACATCTGATGTAATAACCTGCTTTTATTAGCATTAAACAAACTGTTACAAGGTCTCAACTGTGTTTCAACACAGGACTGACTTCTAGCCAATATTCACAGTGGTTTTTATTTACCTACTTTGTGTTGCTGGCATCGTGTTAAACAGATTTTACATGACGCAGCGCCTGCACCTGCTCACTGCCTCTGATGCTGCTCACGAACCTCATCATCATGAGCAGCAGCTGCTTCAATAAGTCACTTATTTAAGCTCTGCAGAGTTCGCCAGCACAGTGAGCCTTCTGCTTTGTCTGCACTGCTGGTTTCATCTTTCTCTCCGGGTTTCATTTGATAGTTGAGGCAACAAATGGCCCAAGCGCTTTTACTGGCTGCACCAACAGCTGAGATGACCCGTCGTAGATTAATCTGAGATATATAATGTGTAAGGAACTAGAGGAGAAAACAGACCAGCCGGCTGTAAAAGATCCCAAACCTCCTGAAGTCAGTCTACGTACACCTGATGTGGATTACAGTGCCACCATGCAGTACACAAGACAAGTGACAAAACAGCTCCAAAGGCTAAAAACAGCCTTCATTCACAGTCACTGGTCTCTGCTCCAGTTCCTCCACCAGCTCCTCCCGCTGCACAGAACCATGTGTTGGAGCCGTGTGCTGGAAACAGACGCCTCCCGTGTTTCCGGAAGAAGAAACCTGCCCCCCAAGTGCAGTGGTGTGGCTCGCTGTGGGGGACGAGGGAGAGTTTAATAGCTGGTGGACAACAGTGGAGGTCTAAGGCACAGAGTGATGAGCTGGACCAGGGTCTGGACTCACACACATCACAGTGAGGACACCACACTCACTGGGGCTGCTGGTCTCTGGATGGGGTTGGGGGGAAAGACAGACAGAGAAAATCACTGTCTGTTCCTTTAATTGGTACGAAAGGTCCTGGCAGTCCAACACACACACACACACACACACACACACACACACACAAAAGTAACAGCTTATATTCCATCAGTTCCTCGGTCTGTGGCTGATTGTTAGTCAGTCAGTCAGTCGTTAGCTGATTTCTGGGGCAAACCCAGCCCCTCCCACTGCCCAGCTCACATCCAAGCTCGGCCCCGTCTCCTGGCGGGTTTCCCTCTTTGGTTGCCATGGTTACCACTGCAGGCCATTATTGCCATGAATAAGAACATCATCTACCCCCGACCTGGAATAACCCCACTGCAGAGAGAGCGACAGAAAGGTTCCTTTCTCTTCTTCTTGGTCTGATTCATGTGCTGCGCTACAGTTTGTCTGCCTTCGAGAAACTCAGGTTAAGTAAAGTGAAATAAAAACAGATTTGTGCTTAAATGTCAGAGATAGTATCAGGGATTCTTTACAGAGTGGCAGTGTGTGTGTGTGTGTGTGTGTGTGTGTGTGTGTGCACGCTGCAGCCTAAAGGCAGCCTCTGGCCAGGCCACGAACCGTCTCCACATGGGGAAGGAAACAAAGACACAAAGTGAGCCGTCTCACACGTCGCTGCTTCTCATCTACCTGCTGAATCTTTGTGCTAAAGTCGTCCGACCTGCTTTAAGCTGCTTCACTGTTAATGTGTTGAAAGTAGATGGAAAGATTTTAGTTTCCTTTTTTGGACACATTCTTAATTTTGTTTGCTGTTAAAAATGTGATGGATTTGAAATTGCTAAGAAAACCTTTCTTTTAAAAATGTCTTCTTTTATTTCAAATCAACCTGTTTCTTTCGTATCTTGTCTCGTTGCCTTTTACGAGAAGCATTTTGAATTGTGTTGCTGAAAGGTGTTCCACAAAAACTTTAGGTAAGCAAAGTTCTCATGCATTTTTTCCCTAAATATTCAAAAAGTTAAAAAAAAAATCTGATTTGAGAAGAAGCACAGCTGCAGAAAGGAGGAGAATCAAAAGTGTTGATTCTGACTCTGGACACAAAGACGAGACAAGGATGAGGTGAAAACTGGGGAGTAATGACAGGAGACCAGAGTCCAACACAACACACATCGTGGTACCACTACAATCTGCACAGTCACTATCTACTGTGGATGAACACAAATCACTGCACACACAGTCCAGTTGTCCCACCAGATAACTGTAAAATATAGCAGCTCCCTAAGGCATTCAGCTCAAAATGCAGCACCTGACCCGCTATCATCACTGGGGACTGAATGCACACAGAACCGACCCCAGTATCGTAATCAGTGATTCTGGCCCTGGTACTCAACCTCAGAGGTACACATAAAGGTCTACGAAGAACAACGCCGAGACGAGTGTTATGGGTAACCTGACATGCACAACAGTGTGCTGACTGGATGATCCAGTGTCGGGGGTTGAAACTAAAAGCAGGACGGAGCAGGTGGCAGACAAGCTGAGAGAAGCTAAACCCCTCACCAGGGTGCTTCACATCATTCCTCCTTCCATCCACATTTGGAAACCCAGGTTTGCTTCACAATTAATGCTTGTAATTTGTTCCCACCGTCACCATGGTGACACTGGTTTCCATTTTCAGATTTATGCGACATCTTCAGTAAACTGTGCCTGACATATACAAAGGTCTCCGAGTGCCTACATGCAACACGGAGAAGCAAGATTAGACATTAGCTCTAACCATGTTGTGCATGTCAGACCACAGGTGCAGGACATAACTGTGGGATCCAACCGTGGGTGTTACACGGTTCAGTTCTGGTTAAATATGTTGAAACCACTGACTGTTCTGTAACTCACAGTGTGGATGCAGGGCAGCTCCTTGTTGAGTAACCACGGTAACGAGAGGCGTCCCTCTCCACGGTAACAGGAGCGGATCCTCTCTCTCATGGCCAGGTTGATGTCCTGGAGGGTGAACAGACAGAGGACCGTCTCTCTGGGCGGGTTGGAGCGATTCTTCTGGCCCTGAAAATAAAAACCACAACCAGAGTTCAAATCCCACAGAGGCCGGACACACCTTCAGTTCATAATAACAAAGACAGCAGGACCCGCCCAGAAGAAAAGGCACGACGAAGGAAGGAAAGAAAAAGAAAGTAACAGACATGAAGAAAAACTATAGAGAAGTACGACAAGAAGAACATAAACGTGTGGTCCTAAATATAATGTTGCAGAAATAGGATTGAAAAGAAAGAAAGAATCTCAAGTGAAAGTGAAATGCATCTAAAAGAAATCATGGCTAAATAAAGGGATGGATGGAAGCAAATGAAAGGAATAAAGCAAACACAGTAATAAAAGACAGAAGCTAATGTAACTGAAAACAGCAAGAAAAGAAACAAAAAGGAAACAGAAAGAAAAATTATTAAAAGAACGAATGAAAGACTGAAAAGAGCAGAAACTGTTGGCGTTCAGCCACCTGTGAGAAGACGACAAACAGGACATCGTCGTCCTCGGACAGGCCGAGCGCCTGAGCCAGCCGCCGCCCCGGCTTCTGCTTGTAGGCGGCCTGGACCAGTCGGTACTCCACGCCGTCTTTGGTGCAGCCCAGAGGAAACTCCACGTACGAGTAAAACTCGGTGTCGTTGGAGCACATCCTGACGATCTTCGAGGTGAAGAACTTCTCTCCACCGGCATCCATCTGTGTCAGCTGGGTGTCCAGCTGCAGTGTCAGGAAGTAGACGTATGTGCGGCTGGAGAAGCCATAGACGTAGTAGATGTCAAAGGCCGGGTACAGGGATAACGTGTCTGACGGGATCTTGATCTGCGAGGAGACAAATTCATCCTGGTACACCAGTGAGAACATGTTGACGCTCTCCTCGTCTGCCACCAGCTTCCTGCTGGACAGTGTGGGGAAATACTCCGACTTCCCATCGATGGCAGCACCAATAAAGAGCCGGCTGCCGCCCTTCACCGGCTTCTTCCTCTTGGGGTCAGCCGTCCAATCGTCCTCACCAACAACCACACCTGCAGAGGATGAGACAGGTCAGACAGGTTCTTCATCTTCTCATCACTCAAACATGCACAGCGCCTCATTCTCACCAAACCAAAACAGTGAAGACCCTGAAAGACACGATACAAAAGAACAGTGTTTTACTACTATCTCTCACACTCAGAGCTATAAGCACGAGTTTCAACATTTCTCTCTTTCATATCACAGTGTGGTGAAACCTCTGAGAGGAGAGGTCTGATGCGAGTCCTGCTTTCAGTCATCTGCTGTTTTCATTCAGGTTTGTGTTCAGACTTCAGCAACTCGCCGAAATAAAACGTGATTGACAGCTGCAGGTTGAAATGCTGCTCCGGCTTGTCGAGAACCAAGTCGGGGGGAAACACTGCAGCTTTGGTTTTTCTTTTCTGGCATCAGAAATGACCAGATCTGCTGTTTGAATTTAAACCTGCAGTAGAAAATACAGTTGACTACAACTTGTGCATTCACAGTCGTCTGGGACGTTCATGAAAATACATTTATTCTCCAAACAGTTTGTGACCAAACCACTGGCTTCGCAGCTTTAGTCCAGTAATTCACTGATCATGTATTTTACAGTGGAGGCACCACATCACATGAAACGAACTCGACCTGCTCCACCAGAGAAAACTTAAAAACACAAAATAAACCTTCAAGGAGAAAAATCTGACTTCACAAAAGTCTGGCTGTATTTCTCATCAAGGTTAGAGGACGCATTTAGCCTAGCTTCGCACAAAGACTGGACACAGTGGGACAACTCCAGGTCTGTCTGATTTTCATGTTGGCCTGGGGAGGGTGACCAGCATTTTAAATTAACTTTGGTTAGTGGGTGGCTTTGGTGAAGATCCCAGGAATTAACATTAATCTGGACGCCAGCATCAAAGTTCAACTTTCCATTCAAATTCATACATGTGTGTCTGTCGCCCACTGTGTTTAGGATCTGCTGGAGAAATATGAAGTAGTGAAGCAGGCACAGCAAAAAACTATTTCTGTAAGCGGCTAAACATAACCTGGTCTGGACACAGCGAAGATTCTCATCAGACTCTTAAGAAAGCAGCAGAAATGTATCCAGCTTTGTTAGCAGTTAGCTTTTGTGCTAATGTTAGCATGAGTTAGCAGGTAGCTAAATCATTTCACATCATTTAGGACTGCTGCCTTAAAAAGTCCACGGCAACTATAGAACCTTTCATAAGGCTCTGGTTTACAATTTTGTTCCATCTTTCTCTTCGACCTGTTCAGGTGTATCTGACCCCGCCCCCTCCTGCCCAGTTTACCTGCCATCCCATCAGCCTCTCTGGCTCCAGACAGGTAGTGCTCCTTACGGTGATGCGGCTCTCCCAGTTTGAAAAGATCCTCCAGTCTGAGGAACTGACAGACACCCTGCCAGATCGACCCACAGGCCACCAGTCTGTTCCCAGTATAATCCACCAGTAGGAGCTTATTCACATTATCTGACGACTCCAGTCTGAGGGCAGACAGACACACAGGTGAGAGGGGTGTGGACAGACAAACCAGACAGGTGTACATAGACAGATGGGTAAGGCAGGTGTAGACAGACCGGTGAGCACAGGCCCTGACGCTGGGTGGAGGGTAGCACTTGGCATTGTCCTCCACAGGTCCGGTCATGTGACTCCTCAGCTCCGTCAGATTGGCTGACAGCTTCAGCACTCGGTTGACAGCACCGACAAACACCTCACCTGTTCTCCGGTGTATGGTCAGGTGGGTGAGGGAGGTGTCGAACGCCCGGTACACCACCCTGCTCGAGGCCATAGAGGGAGGGGGAGGAACAGCTGGGGCAGAGAGGAGGAGGGAGGAGAGGAGGAGGTGGAAGAGGAGGATAGGAGAGAAAGAAGGGAGCATGGTGGACAAAGAGAGGAGGAAGAAGAGGAGAGGATGGAGGGAGAGAGGACGAGTGAAGAGCTGGCGGCTGGTCTGATGAAGAGTCAGCTTCACTGGGTCATGGCTGTAGGGAGAGAAAGAGAGGAAGAGTCAGGAAACAGCAGCAACTCCACAGACTCATACAACCAGTTTATAAACCATAGGTTATCTGGGCGGTTTCCAGTTTACCGCTGAGGACGCATGTGGAAAACACGTTTGCACTATGTCCTAACTACGCGTAGAAGGACGTTTTGACTATTCAGTGTACAGCAGCTACTGTTTAGAGGTGAGGTTACATGTCCACTGCATGCTTTGTCTTTTAAACACCTGTCAGGTGAGCTAACATGCTATTGCTAATGGAGGCTGTAGACAAAGGCTGCATCCATGTCCCAGGCCTCAACACCCAGCTCTGATCTGATCTGTGTGTCACTGCTTCCCGTCCGTGTGTGTCAGCACCGTGTATCCGGGTCAGCTCCTAAACTGCCACACATGCACAGATGTAACTGAAATGTGAGCCATGTGCACAGAGGAATAACAACCAAGTGGTGTGTGTAACCGTCAAATGGCCCAGTTTCCTCCCAAACCGCTGGGCTATGATATGTTCGATATGAGCAGCGTGGCTACTGGACACAGGTCTATGGCACAGACCAATACGTTAAACCAGGGTCTGGATACACCACATTCATTGGTCCTGTTGGTCTTGGGATGGTGTTTGTGCACAGTAACAACAACACAGACCCTTACAGACTCTACACATTGTTGTTTTGTCACTGTCTGAAACTTGTAACCCTTCCATCCAGGCTGCTGTCTCCGTGGGATTTCCACCAGGTAAATAAAGGTTAAATTCATAAATTAAAATCAGACCACACTCCGATATGTCTGCCGCTTCACCTGCAGGCTGATGAGGAGCTGTCCCAACTGCAGATAGAGATATGCACAGAGCTCTCTCTAGCAGCAGTGAGCGAGGAGAGCAGCTGCATGTGATCGAGGCAGATACAATTATTGATCTGTTTCCATCTGTCTTCTCACTCTGCTGAAGCTTCAGCAGCTCCAGTAACACTGAGCGGGACGGACACTTCACTCTCTCGCTGGCAGCCACGTCTGCTCTGTTCACGTTTGACTGACAGCTCTGATTACACATGTCAAGCTTCCAGAGCTGTGGACGTTTCCGCCGCACCTCGTGAATCACGTCAGGTCTCGGCTGAAGGCAGCTGAATTTTAATGTGCAGTCGTCGATGAGACAAAATGGAGGGTTTTCTTCCTCCAGCAGGGAGACGCTACTGATCGCTCTCTGCAGGTTTTACACTGAAAGGCCGCTACATATGATGTGAGCTGTGCCGGTGCTTCAGGGCATCGCCTGGTTTTCAGCTAGACACGTTAATCAATGAGACTAGAGTAGAAACCGAGGGTGGAAACAAAGGAGTTCTTCTGTCAGAGCTGGAATCATTTGACTTCTCATGTCTGTGCAGCATTTCCACTTCTCTGACGTGTGTTACTCTGAACACTGATAGGGCCAACTCCAGTCACCTTCGGTCTAAACAGAGAAAACTACGACCATGGTGGGGACACTGGATGGTGGTCGGCTCATGTACTGCACACACTCGAGTCACAGAAACAATCGAAACTGAGACCGGCCTAATGTTTTAACCCCGTCAGACTCTTGTAATGATGCAGAATCAAAAATAATCTGGTCCAGTCCGGGAAAATGTTTTGGGTCATACAGTTTCTTTTCAGTTCAGATGGCGACAGGAAATGACATCATCACTCTGGCTTTGTGTGATGCCGGCTCTTTGCTTTGGAGACGTCTGGGCTGCCATTCAGCGCCATGCAGTCAGAGCTGGGGCATGAATGGTAGAGTAATAAAGTTTTCAGCCGGCAGCAGAGAGGTACAGCGAGCCCAGTCCAACAGTTAATCCTGTGACGCGCACACACTGCAACACAGAGATGCAGTGAAAGATCAGCCATTTAGTTAATTAGCCTGCTGAGCGGAGGGCAGCGTGGCCAGAGGAGAGGTCGACAGACGGACCAGAGAGACAGCGTTACTGTGTGTGGAGGACAGACAGCTGTGCATGCAGACGAGGCGGATCGAGTTTCTCTAACTGGACTGGGACTTCACTGGACCATCCATCACCCTGCTGCGCCAGAGTCTGTGGGTGTCTTTCTGTGGCCGTGGGGACACAGCAATCGGTTCTGAGGCAATCAGCATGAAAGGCCCAGTGTCAACAGTCTGAGGCTGTTTATAGTCAGTGTGTAGAAAAATATAAAGTATATAAAGATCACAAGGTCAGCTCTACTGTTGGAGGGAAGGAGGAAACGCTTCTGAGGCATCAGTGTCACCAGCTAAACATACTGAAGTGTCCAGAGTAAACGTACTCATAATGCAGGAGGCCCCTCTGACAGAGTCACATCGGAGTTGACTGCAGGCGTAGGACCCTGGGCTTTCACATTAGTAACACCATTCTGTGCCCCAGCACACTTACATACGTACACAGTCCGGTACAGTAGGTGGTGGTTTGCACGTTGTTGGTTTGCAATCTGCCAAGAAGAAGAAGAAGTAGGAAGCAGCAGCCACTCACGTCATCAACTGGGCGACATTTGTTTCTGTTCCACACGCATGTAAATACTGTTTCTGTGTGCCGTATCTGGTTGTCAAGGAATGTTTTCATCATTCCAAGCAATGACTTTATGTCTCCGTTACTCCACAGATCCTGTTTGTTATTGTTTTAACAGAGTCAAACCGTTATGACACTTCCTTTTTTGAGCACAGCTGTATTCACACTCCCATGTACCGTACTCGAGTACACGTGAATTGTGCTCAAGACCACTTCTTCAAGAAGACTCAGGCATGGCACCTGAGTCTGGTACGCTTGTGTTCAAAGTGAACCGGACACTGGGGTCAAGTGAACTCGGATCCGGGCCCCTAATGTGAAACCAGTCTTAGCTTCCTACAGGTCACCTAGCTTGCCAATTTACCGGAGGGGTGTGCGGTGGCTCTGACTAGGTGAGGAGAAGTGCCGAAGTTTTATCTTCAGCGAGTCTCTGTGACCTTCCCAGAAGCTGACATCCACCTGGCTCAGCAGCCAATTCCATGCTACAAGACCAAGACAAGCAGGAATCCTCACACGGGAGGATCTTTGCTTGATAAACATTTGAGTCTCTAAAATCGTTGGTTAGTTTCCTGTCACTCACTGATCAATCGATTAATGTGCTGTTTGCTACGGCAGGAGCCTAATGCGTCCTGTGACCCCCCCTCTCTGTGCAGCTCTCAGCTCTTATCTCTGTCCTCTCGCTCTGCACTAGACCACCCTGAAGCTCTTACCACCCAAAACCAACCCCGCAGCCATTTCTACCCGGAAACTGCAGCACAATGTCTCTTTGTTGTGTGTTTATTGGAGCCTGTGATTCAAACAGAGGCTTAGTCAGAGGGACTGGGGGGTGAGGAGGGGGGACACTGATGCAGATGGAGGTGGCTCCTGGGTGGAGTTTGTCCTCCACACAGTAACATCCCACACACACAGACTCAGTTGTTTCAGTTGTTTCCATCTATGAAGACTCGAAGATCCCCAGCACTGATCAGACCTGGCGGGTCTGAGTCCAGACTGGTGGCACTGACTGGTCCCAGTAAGACTTTTTCCAAACATGTTTCAGTTGCACATCTACACTAGGTCCAGGCCATTCAGGCCAGTTTGTGTGTCTGTAGTGCACAATATACTGTCCATAGTAAACCACTGTGGTGACGTATCTCGACTAATTATTTTCATTCTTTCATTGCCAGCACGATTTCTGACGGTGGTGATGATGATGCGACTGTATCACTGCAGCTCAGAATAACAGGAGGCGATAATTGGAAGTTAAAACTAAACACACTTAATTAGCTCCCAGTAAATGATAAACAACATCTCAGTCATATTAACCTCGTCACATTTCCCCTCTCTGATCTGGAGACACAGTTACTATCACTTTCAATGTGCATCAGGTTTTTCCTGAGCTCTCAACCACATGACACTGTCTTCACTGCAGACAGAGCCTGCTCTCATGGTTAGAACTTGTGTTACAGAGGCCGAGGTCAAAGTTCAGACTGAGATGGGCTGTTTAGCCGCACATCTGTTTCTGTCCTCAGAGTGAACCTTAATGCGTAACATGGTAATGCTCTTGTTTGTGATGCAAATGTGCCTTTAAAAGAGACATGTCTGTATGCTAATGTTTTACATGTGAAAAGCTCTTTCACGTGTAAAACTGATGCTGAGAAATGATCCATCAATACGACTCAACACACATGAAATCCTTTCCGGACTGAGCGACGACAGGCCGGGCCTGTAAGCACCGCAAACGATCCTCCATAAATTTAACGTGTTGGTGTGACAATAAACCATGATCTAATTTGGGCTGATTGTTGTGTCACTTCCTGTAATTACATAAACAGTCAACTGTAAACCACTGTGTATTTTCATATGGCCACTTTAATTTTACCGCCTCCTCCTCTGTGCCGGCCTCTATAATTACCAACCAGTGTAAACGGTCTGAATGTGCTATCCCACAGTGTGATCACTTCACTGTCCGTCCGTAAAACTGAGCCTCAGCATGCAGCTGTTGACAGCTGCTGTTTGTGGAGGTAAATAACAGCAAGTCTCTCTCTGGAGATACAGCAAGGCTTTGCTTCACTAAGCCGAGATGGTTAATTACACAGAGCTGCTACCAGCACACTAACACACACACACACACACACACACACACACACACACACACACACACACACAGCAGCAGCAGAGGAGGAGTGGCAACACAAGACAACTCTGTCCTGTCTGACCAGACAGTCAACAAAAAACTAAATATTAAACATTCTCCAGTCATCATGTGTGAGGCTCCATATATCTGTGGAACATTCAGTACAAATGCAGACAAAGATTGAATCTCCACCTCATTTCTCTTTATTCCTATGAATTAATGTCCATGAATCTATGTAGAAACCTTGCACAGGTGTATCCTTTGATTCACACTAATCCACTGTGCCTGATAGCTGCAGTGTACATGAAAGTCTTTTTCCAAAAGTCGTAACTCGGTCAAAGCCGAACACGGACATGAATC